TTTCTAGCACTTCTGAGAAGTTTCTGGCTTTTCTCAGTGAAATATTGGATATATTCTTAAATGGAGGACAAGCTACCAATACTGGCAAATCGAAGATTTCAAGTAAATTAACAAACAAACAAATGGAAAAGTTAGGTTCCAGGTCATATATACAAGTACTTTTAGCAATAGGATATGAGCCAGGCACATTTCAGTTTAGGCAGCTCATGATCGGACAAACACAAATGTCCTTATGTAGACAGCTGGCCAGAATATTTTAGAGCAGAGCTGCCCCCTAAAACGAAGCCCACATGGATGCTGGAGGCCCACTACTTGTTGAATCCATTCCCTGATCTTAAAGTCTGTAAATCTGCATTTTTGTATATTGAGTTTCTATTAGGAAGCCTACTTCATTGATCTGAGCCAGATTGCCAGAGTTCAAAGCCCTCTTCTGTCATTTACTGGCTGTGTCACTTCAAGCTAGTTACTTAACCATTCTGTACCTTAGTTTTTCCATTCATAAAATGGGGGCAATAATAGTGTCCAAATCATGGAGTTGTTGGAAAGGTTAAATAGGTTAATGTATAAAAAGTCTTAAAATAGTACTTGGCACATAGTAAGCACTATATGAATGTTTGCTACTATTATTATCATTATTAATTCTTATTACTACTTCTATTTGAATTTAACAAAGGTTTATAGCTATTATTAAAGGATCAAAATAATAGTGACTGCCAATCTGTATTTCCCAGAGAATGGTCATTTGGGCCTAAAAGTACAGTCTTACAATAACAGTTACATAGTAGGCAAGCGTAGAAATGGGAAAGTTTAAAGCCAGTCATTTCTTACTTTGAATGAACTCTACCGCCACCTCTAACTTGTGTGAACCTGGGCAATTTATCTATTCAACCTCCCTAGGCCTATAGGAGGAGAATAATAATACTTGCCTGACAAGATAATCAATAATTTGATAAGATAATGAATGTGAGGTGACTGACAAATGGCCTAATGCACACGGACCTTAGGTCTACTTTCGAGAACTCGACTAGCTCTTAAAGCTCCGTGTGGAGCCCTCCCTTTTCCCTTTCTGGCTCCTCGCCACCTTCAGCAGTCCTACTCTGCTGCCTGATGAAACCAAACACCAAGGAACAGACCCAGGATAACCACCAACTGAGAACGTAGTATGTAAAGATATCATTGGGAAGGTAGTCTGCATTATAATGCTATGTTAAAAAGGTTGAAAGTCATCATTTTTTTAGAAATGTACATTAAAGTATGTATGGGTCAAGGTGATATGTGGGATTTGCTTTTAAAATATTTTAGCAAAAGGAGAAAACTAGAGACATAAAGGACCCATGAAACAAATGCAGCAATCTTGATATTGTTTAAGGATGATGGGTACATAAGGATTTATTACATTATTCTCTATAAATGCTTAGTTTAGTGTATTTGAACTTCATACATGATTTAAAAAACTGAAAGTTAAAATCCTCATATTTCTAAAAGTAACACATACGGCTCCTTAACCACTAGGCGTATAAATCTTGTCTTATATTCTAGACATTTCATCCCATTTCCTAAAGAGTCCAAGTCAGACCCAGTCATACATTTCACTGAATCCTTTGTTCCTCCTAGTTCAGCAGAATATGCCATATAATTTCCAAACAAGTATTTGTTAATCCTTGCTTAGGTTAGGAAATTTTCATCTTTTCCAACAACATGGTACAGACATTTTTATAAGACACTTAGATATCAAAGTTTCTAAAAGTGAGGCCACAAGATAAACCTAATGAATCTCTACAATCTTATGCCAAGGGAAAGAAGCCAGACACCAAACATAGCATATCTATCATATGATTCCATTTATACGGAAAGCCCAGATAAGGCATATCTGTAGAGACTGACAGTAGGTAAGTGGTTCCTGAGACTGAAAGTGGAAGGGGCGTTCACTGGGTGTGGCCTGAGTGACCTCATTGGGATGACAGAAATATGTTAAAACTGGATCGTGGGTATGGTTGCACAACTTGGTAAAATTACTAAAAATCACTGACTTCTAAACAGATGAATTCTATGGTATATAATTATACTTCAATATTTTTTTTTAAATGGCAACTTAAAAAATCTTTTTAAACTATAAAAAACATTTTATAGTTTAGAAGAACTTTAACACATCATATTGTGATTTCACGGTAATTATATAAACTTTTGTGGTTTTTAAAAAATATTTTATCTATTTATTTTCAGAGAGTGGAGAAAGGAGGGAGAGAGAGGGAGAGAAGCATCATTTGGTTGCCTCTTGTTCGCCCCCAAATGGGGACCTGGCCTGCAACCCAGGCCTGTGTCCTAGCAGGGAATCAAAGCGGCTATCTTTTGGTTCGCAAATCGATACTCAATCCACTGAGCTACACCAGCCAGGACTAAACTTTTAAATAAATTTTTATATCTGAAACTAACACAGAATAACACTGAATGTAAATTGTTGGGAACTGCCCTGCCTGGTTTCAGAAGCTATAATCCCTGGTGGCTAAGGCTGAGTAAAAAGATCTTGGGACCATAAGTCACTTAGGAGACAAAGCTTATCTTCCTTGTAGGGGCACCACCTCTGCTCCCTTTCACCTCATCCTGCTTGGCCCTGGGCAGATAACTGGTTAGCCAAGGATGCATAAGATTCCTCAAAGGAGCGATGACCTAAGACAGGCACCGTCACAAAAGGGTACTCAGGGAAGGACTTGGGGGCTATAGAAAAAGGGGTGATGACCCTCTCCCCTCAGCTCTGACATAGCCTGAGTCCTCATTCTGGCTGTGAGAAATCTCCTCTCTTGGCTACCTGACTTCCCCTGCTTGACTTAAGCCTGAAACACTGCTGGAGGTGGGTGTGGCCCTGTTCTGGGAAGGGTGGGTTCCCCGGGGTGATCAGGCCTAAGAAAGAATGCATAAAATCATCTGAAACCTACTTTGCTAATACCCTCAATTTATGATAAGGGTCCAAGCCTGAAATGAGTTTGCTTCCCCAAAATTTTATGGCCCTTTAGCTATCTGACACTGACTCAAAATAAGCCCTCATAGTTCTTGAGTGTTATCTATTGTTTGATCATTACTGCCTAACAATGATTGATGAGCTTTATGTATATGCCCTGTATTCCTATGCAAATAAACCCAATAAAAGCCCATTGGGGAACAGGCTCTTGGTGCTTCTCCTTTGAGAGACTGGCCACCTTTCTTCTCCAAGCAGATCATGTCTTGATAGACTTATTCTCATCCACGGCGGACAGGGGCTTTGCAGGTGGACCCCCCTTCACAGTAAATGGTAATTGAAAAAAAGTAAAGATAAATTAAAAATGAAATAAAATTTTAAGTTACAATAGTTGAGTGAATTAAAATACATGATTTAATTAAATGTTTTAATTAATTCACATAAGTTAAATAAAAGTGATGATACTAACAAACCAGAAGTTCTGGTAAATGCTAGTCTGGGTCATTGATTCCTAGGTGATAAAACCCCAGTTGTGTGTGTGTGTGTGTGTGTGTGTGTGTTTTAATTTCAGGATTAGATACAAAGATTAAATAGGAAAAATGTTGATGAAAATACTTTATAAATTGCCAATGCTACACTAACAAAGGAAGAATGGTCTACCTAAGCTACTTTTATTTTAATATAAAAGAAATCCTAATTAGGTTATGACAGATAGGTGACTCTCCAGGTGGGGCAGGAGTAAATTAACCGGTTACCCAGCTTCCTTCCTCTGGGGTTTCAATTTCGGTAATGATTTCTTCCACAAACATTATCGAATGCCTACCAGGAATCCACTAGTTGGTAGGTCCTTATTCCTGATCCTCCAGAGGTGCCCAGTTGCCCTCCTCCTCTCCCTCTTCTCCCACACCAAAGTGTTCTACTACAGCAGCTTCCTTCTTGATTGGGTTGGAGCACCCTCAACCCTGGTCCTGGTTCCGGGTTGCACTTGGCACAGGTGAAATGAATTGGCATTTTTGAAGCTTTTCCAAGTATTAGGGGAGAATACCAGCTGCCCCCATCTATAATAGTAAAGTTTTTAAATTACAGACTGGGATGCTGAAAAAAAAAACCCTTCTCATCACCATCCTGATTTCAGTTCTTAATTCCTGTGTCTTCCACTCCTTTCTGTTTCCAAGGAGTGCATCTTCCCCACCTTTCAAGAAAACAGTGGCATTTAAGTCCCATGCCCACATGAACAAAGTAGCCACTATATTCTAAGTTCCCATCCCCATAGAAATCAGGAGCAACCCTCTTTCAAGGGTGGTTTGTCTTAAACAAAGTGGTGGTAGTGTTCTTTTTATTAGTATTACTATTACTATTCTGACGTTAGCTCAGCTAATAAATCTGGGGTATCTAAATGTTTTGCTAAGTTCTCTAAACTTCAACTATCAGCCACATTTGCAAAAGGCCATGGGGGAAAAAAAATCAGGTTAGGGCCCAAACATCTTTCTGCCAAAGAGGATGCACAGGGCTTACTCAACGTTTTGTTTAATCTCCTGCCAATTCTAAAAGGGTAAGCAAGGCAGATACTATTACCCTTAGCAGCGAAAGCAGAAGGGACGTGTCTAAGGATACATAGCTTGCTCACTGATAACAGAGCCTGAATCGATGCCTGTCCTACATGATCTAAGTGAATTTCTCTTTTCATTCCAAATTCCTTAGTGGAATTACCCTCTAGGCAAATAAAAACTGCAATCCAACTGGAGTAACTGACTTCCGGGTGAAGAGACAAGTAGTTAGCCCTTGGGGGTGTGGGTTTTGCCTCCAACACCAAGCTAAAGTTGCCTTTGTAATTTACCTCAGTCCAGTTACGGTATCTCTGTGGCAGCCCGTTTGTAAGGTTCCTTTGAAAGTTCTCCTAGGTAGTTCAGCTGATTCATCCAGCAATATAGCAAATTACAGAAACGGATTAGAAAAGTAAGAAAACGCAAAGCACGTGGCATATTTTTCTTGGCCTCTCTCCCGATCCGTAGCCGCGTCCCATTACGACTGCGTGAGCCTATAAAACCCCGGCTCGGCGCGTCTCGTCGCCACAACCTCTTCCTGTTCTCTCTAAGTGTTTGTTGTTGTTGTTGTCGTCGTCGTCGTCGTTCTTCTTCTTTCCTGCTGGAACCCCGGTGTCAGTGAAGATGGCGTCTACCAGCCGGTTAGTACGTGTGGCGGATCCTGGCTAGCTGAGGGGCGGGCGGGGCGTGCCAGGCGGCCGCCGGGGCTGCGGCATCGGGCAGAGCGCGCTGGAGATTCGGGGAGAGCCGATTAGTGTGTCCGGCCGAGGCGGACAAAGACATTACCAAACGGTAGGGCTGTAGGGTGTCGCAGGGGTTACCGAACCGTTGGCGTTAGCACCCCAGGGTCTTAGATCGCCATCTCACCCAGGCACCACTCTGGGGGCTGGCTGAAGGGGGAGCGTCCCTGTGTCCCCAGCCCCTAGTTTCTCGTCTTTTGCGGATATTCCAACCGTCTTTTTTTCTTGTTACTCTTTTCTACGCTTGTTTTTCTGTCTACTGTTCAATCAGCTCGAGGGGCCGGTGAATCCTCTTTTCCTAAGAGCGGGAAAGGTTTAGTTCCAGGCCGCGGTCAAGCTGACAGCTAGAAAGTTGGAGACGTCAGTATTGGTGAGCCTAGAGGAAACGGTTTACTATCCCAAAGGCCCTCTGAATGGAAGTTAAGGCATTTCTGAAAATTCGATAAGTTCCCTTGTAAGAGATTTCCTTACAAAGGTCGTCGCCTGCGTTTTCCTGAAGAAAATGTTGCCTGTAGAAAATTATTTACATATGCTGGGCAGTCACTGTAATGTGTTTTAAAAATGCATTATACTCACTTCTATGGGAAATGCACGTAGTGCCCGTAGAGAGACAGCCTTTAGTTCCGTGACCTGAAAAATGCTTGCAGATCCTAATTAGATCTCTCATGACCACTATGAAGTAGGTATTAGTATTTTTGCATGAGTGTAAACTGAGTCATGCCAATATTGGCTTTTCCAAAGTGAGTGTTATTGCAGCATAGAGACTCATATGTCTATTTTTTGCTACCACAAGTTGTCCTCTGGTTAACTCAGTCAGAATGTAGTAAAAGTGTCACACTAGGTCTATAGCTTCTGGAAGGCAACTCTGGCATAAATTTTTGAACTTGTTATAATCTGTGCCTTTGAGTTCCCAATGAATAAATACCATTATCACAAATAGTAAGCTGGAGAAGTCCAAGCCCTTTCTGGTAACTTGCAAGACTTACTATTTTGTGTTACTGTATTTATTAAAAAGGGGGGCCTTGAGGCAGCTTTAGCTAATGGCCTGTTTGAAAACAACTCGGAAAGTCATTGACATGCTTGTTTACTGATTGTAATTCTGTGATTGAGTGCTCTTTCTGTCTGGGCATGGCTCTGTCAGGTAAGGTTTCCTTGTAGGTAAATGGAAAACTTCAGTGCCCCCAAAGCACCCTAAATACAACCTAGGGTCTCTGGTGGCAGCAGATCTGAAAGGTGGGCATATTTGGCACAGCTGTTACATGTGAAGAACAGGAAGTTGTATTTGTAAGAAATGTTACAGTATAAGTGTAGTAAATTCACTTCATAAATTCTTTATCCACTAAGTACACTTTACTTTGTGTGCCTTTATTTTTCTCATTTGTTAAAAAAAATATTTGAAATAAATTTTTTCTAGACAGGTCCAGTTCTATGTGTTATTGCAGTTGTTCACCTCTTGAATTTTTCTACCAGTGAGAACAAAGGTAAATGTTAGTATTTCTACTTTAAGCTGTTTTTTTTTTCTTGAGGAAGATGTACAGTTACTAGGCTGTGAAACTGCCTGGTTTTTCACAGAGAAGAGCACAAATGTGAGTTCAAATTTAAGTTCCATCACTTAATTCTGTGATTTCAGGCAAACCATTCTCTGAGAAAAATCTTTAAAGTGGAGATAATGATGCCTGTCTTGCAGGGTTGCTTCAAAGATTAATACTGTGTGTATGGCACTAGACCCACAGTAGGCACCCAGTAAATTTTAGCTATAAAATGAGGTTGGGATTATCTGGCTTCTTAGGTTGTATCAGTTGTTTTAAATCTAGGGGTGATTATTTCCACGTTCCTTCCTTGTTGTTTTTGCCCCTTCCTTTTCCCTACAACCCCACCTCGTGGTTTCTCTTCTGTATTACTCTTGTGGGTAATTTGTTTAAAAGGTAACTAGCATGATTTCACTTTATTTTGGATAGGTAACACATACGCATAGGTTATGAAGCAAAAAGAAAAGTGAAAAGCAGTCTGCCTTCTCCCCTAGCTTCCAGCCTTCTAATTCTCCCCCAAAGCAGTCATTGTACCCAGTTTCTTGGTGTTTTTGCCCAGTAAGTCTGTGCTTTAGCAAACATATGCATATAATTCTAAACACCACCCCTGCCAAAAAAAAAAAAAAAAATAGTCTAATGTAAACGTGGTGCCTTGCTTTTACCTTTTTTATGGAGTTGGTATACACATTTTAAGTACACAGCTCAGTTACAAAATGAACGTATAAACAAACCTACCACCCAGGTTAAGAAATCAAAAACCACTTAGTCATTACCACATTCTGATTTCTAACACCATAGCGAGGTTTTGCCCGCTTTAAGTGTACTGTAAATGACATATGTGTTCATCTTTCTAGTTTCTTTTATCAGCACTTTGGTATTCATTCATTCACCCATATTTTACTGCATATAACTGTAATTCATACTTTCTCCAATTTTGTATAAAATCTGTACTTTTTTCAGTTAGCATATCTTTATGATGTTTCTTTATCATTTATATGTATACACTACATGGTAGTCTGTCTCCCTTTTAAGAGTACAAAATACATCAACTGATTTCTTTGTATGCTGTGTGCCACCTGGCTGCCCATTTTATGCATTTGTAATTACTATTACTCTGCTAACATTTTCCTGTATTTCAACATAGCTTTTCATTATTTTTGCTTTCTTCATATTTGTCATAATTTCTTATAATATTTTTCTATAAAAAATATAGCAAAAAATATATTCCCTATAATTATAGGAAATTCCTATATTTCTGTAGGAATTTATGGAATAAATGTGAATTAAAGCCAACCCCACACCCCCATTTTTCAATGAAAAGATCAACATAAGTTCTTGTTACCTTGAATATATAAATTTTCGGACTAAATTTTTTCAGTTTTCCAGTGGGAATTGCCTTTTATTTGAGAATTACCATTCTCAATTTTATTTGCATGAGAAACTTTATCCAAAACCAAATACCTGTTTACATGGGTAATGTTTTTTAGATGTATATTTGTGGTGGCCATAACATAATCTTTTACTGCATTACTGCAAGTGAATTTTTTCTGTGATTAAACATTTGCTTTACTCCACATAATACAGAAAACATTCTCAAAATAACAATACCTATACTACCACTGGTATGAGTAGTTAATAGTTTTTATATAGGCCCTCATTCTTTTACAGTTTTATTGCACCTGTATCTTTAGAGCATACAGCCTTTATATAAGTTGTGTCTAAAGCTGGCTCACCACAGATCTTTACATTGATGTCTCTCCTGCCATATTGGGTGTGTAAAACTCAGTCCCTAGTAAGTTCATGGGAAAGAGCTAATAGAAATGATATTCTTTGAGTTCTTGTGTGTTGTTAACAGTTTATCAACGGTCTTTTCGTTGAAAGTCAGCTTTGCTGGATATAAAATCTCTGGATTATGGTTGGGTTTTTTTCTTCATATATCTTTATTATAGTTCAGCATTATTTTATGGCATAAGGTTTTCCTGTTCCAAGTGAACTTCAAAAAACAACTTTTTCTCAGTGATACCAAACATTTGTGATTGTGAGATGATACCCCCTAAATAATTTCTAAATCTATGCCAAATATCTTTGTTGCTTTTTGAAACGGATTCTCTCAGGTCATTGAAGGCTGATGTGTCTTCCCAAAGTGCTTTATTTTCAAAGTAAGATAATTGAGCAAATTATTAATACCACAAATAGATTAAAAGGCAGCTTTAGTACCATTTCTTGATTGCTAACAAACTCAGTCTGCACCAAATGAAATAATCAGGTCTTAAGCAGAGCCACATCTACCACCCTCTTATATACCTGTTAGGTTTAGTGTGGTGTTCTAAATCTAGCGGCAAGGGGCACACACTGGGCGGTTATTGGTAAACATCACAGGTTATTACGGTGGCTAGCAATTTCTATGCTAATCAACATTTTTTAAAAACTTGGTAAACATAGAAAACTTGTTTTTTTACATAGATAAACTTGTTTTCTATGTAAGTTTTTAATTCTTTTCATGTCTGCAAACCAGTAACTGTTCTTAAAAAAATAATTTCATTGGAATCTACCTGTTAATAACTAGCTAGAATTTAAAATAATTTAACTGGGCTGTTTACTTTGAAAGTTTAGCTTAAATTTATTATAAATATATAATGTTGGAAAAGTGTTCAAAATTTTCCTATTTCAAAGGCTATGTTGTTTCATGTTGATTGGGAGAATATTAAAAGATATCTTCTCCCCCCCCCCAACACCCCCCACTTAGTTTGGATGCTCTTCCAAGAGTCACCTGTCCAAACCATCCAGATGCGATTTTGGTGGAGGACTACAGAGCTGGTGATATGATCTGTCCTGAATGTGGCCTGGTTGTAGGTAAGAAGTTATTAGAGTTTTAACTAAAATCACTATTTTGGACACTTTGCTTTTGTGTGTTTTCCAGACTTTTAGTGAATACATTTTGACTGTCCTCCCCTATAGGTAATTCATATTTATTGTGAAACAAACAAAAAATTGGGGGGGAGAGTAAAATAATTCAGTGATACTATATTTTATTGTCAATTCACATGCTTATGTTTTATAATGTTGTTTAGGAGGGAACATCAAACTGAGACAGCTAATCCAGACCAAAAAAAAAAAAGGCCCTCGGTCTCCTGAGTTCTTTTTTTTTTTCTCCATTTTTATTATTGACATTGCACATGTCCCCATTGCCCCCACTTTGCCCACCTCCACTCAGCCCCTGCCCCACCTTCCCAGTATTTGATGGGACTTTGAGGATGGCAGGATGATACACATACATATGAAATAATAGATGTAATCTAACTTTTGTGGGTTTTAAATATGATTTTTTTCAGAGTATAAAATATATCTGTATTGAATCATATCAAAGGCCTTTTAGTTAAAAAAAAGATTTATTGCGATTTCATTTGCTCATATGGAATGATTTATGTATGTTGTTCTAGTGTATAGTTATTGTCAAAAATATGACTTCTTAAAATTAGTTTTACTTATTTTTGCTCACTAATCTAGACATACAACAAAACTTTAGAATAAAGATGGTCTATTTAAAAATTATTCTTATGGGGGGTGGTTGTACCATGTTTGAGTAAAGGAGTAATGCTGAGCAGTTTGAAATACTTAAGAACCAAAATGCTGATATACTGTGGATGTGTTTACTTGGAGGACATCTGTAATATGCATCCAAGTAGGCTGCTTGCCTCAGACCTCCACTGGGAATTTTAAATCATGCAGAGTTGCTAATAAGAATTGGAATCCATTTGCAATTGTATTATGCTCAATAAGAAATATTTACAGCTTTTGCACTTACTGTACAGTAGGCACTGTTCTAAATGATTCGCTCAGTTTATCCTGAGAGAAATCTGTGAGGTGAGTACTAACATTGTCTTCATTTTAGAGGTGAGGAAACTGAAGTTTAGGTAATCTGTCAGTGTAGCTCCTCGGTCTGCATTGGAGCCAAATTTCAGTCCTACATTCTTTCATAATAAAATGACTTCAATATGAGATTGGCAAACTACGACCCACCACCTGTTTTCATATGGCCTGTGTGCTTAGAATGGCTTTTACATTTTTAAATGGTTGGGGAAAAATCAAGAATCATTTTGAGCACATGAAAACATCAATTTATATTTTAGTCTTCATTAATGATTATTGGAATACAGTCACAATCATTTGCTTATATAGTGTCTGTTGCTGCTTTCATAATGCAACAGCAGAATTTAGTAGTTGAAACAGAAACCGTATGTGTTGCTCTCATCACTTTATACTGCTGCAAATCCCAGTTGATACAGTTAAAACTCCAGCCAAGCATATCTCCATACTGCAACATTATATTTGTATTTGTTACCATTGCATTCTCACCTTGTCAGACAAACAAAAAACAACTTTGAATGCCATGCTTTTAAGGATAGAGTTACTTTGTTACTGAATTAGATGGTGAAGCATTGTATTAATTATGCTTTGATAATTTAGCAGTGCTTAAAGAATACAATATACATTGAGATTACCAGACAAAGTGCTGTCATAATACTCCCAAATGAGGAAAACAATGATCAGAAAATTTTGGAAATGTAAAGTAGAATATTTCATCACAGCAGAATTTCTTCATGAAAATGAAAGAATTAAAGTTGCAGGTAAAATAAGTTTCTGAGTGGCTCATTTGTAGGTCAGGCAGGGCAAGCCATTTATCAGTGATGAGTTAATTAATTTGTGTGTGATTGCAGCAGCTGAAGACATATGTCCAGAGGAAATAAACTTAAGTCTGTTAGCCTTTAAATGAGAACAGTTGCTTGAAGAATTGACATTGGGAGTAGCATCAGTACTCAAAATACCAGTCGAATTATTTCAAGTGTTTTTCCTAGACTCTTTATGACTAAACACATGTTACTGTTGAGCTGTTTATTCAAGGAGTCAGTGCAGAGTTTACAGAGTTTAAAGTGACTGCATGGGACAGCTGCAGGAGAAAGTATTTTCAAAGAAGTTGCGAAAGTACTGGTTCAGTACAACCTGGAGTGGAATCTGCTACGATGCATTATAACTGATGGTGGTGAAAATACATGGGGAGCAGAGGGCTTAGTTGGACAAATTTACAAAAGGAGCACAAATATAAGATTAAAAAACCCTATAGTTATTCATTTTTCATCAGCAGATACATTGTAGAAAAGGTTTGAATTTATCATGTGTTGTTATTGATCCAATAGTGTCAGTAGTGGATTTCTTCCAGTCTCATGGACTTAACTATCATCATTCCTATGAATTTTTTTCAGAAATAGAAACTGAATATCCTAATTTGCCCTACCACATAGTAATTCAGTTGCTTAGCAGTGGCAAGGTTTTCCTGCGATTCTTTTTTTTTTTTTTAAGTGATTTTTTGCTTTTTAAGCTCAGGGCAAGGTTGAAATGTTGAAATCTTTCTGAACTAGTACTGTCTTCAACTACTATTAAAAACCAAATGGCTTTGGTAATTAGCTGTTGCTTCAGACTTGCTAATATTTCTTAATGAATTCAGTGTAGAATTGCAAGGTAAAATAGTGCCTGTATGTTAAGTGCTGTGATAAAGTCAGTTTGATAGCAACTAACATTTGAATTACAAGTAATATCAAATTGCTTTATATAGTATTTTATATACTTTCATTGATGTCAGAAGTTAAAACAAAAACTAAGATCTTCATTCTTATACAGATCTGCAGCAGATCTATTTCCAGACTCAAATTATATTTTTGTCAGCGTTTTTTAGACCTGGGTACAAATGTAAAGGAAATTTTCATCTTCTAAGATCTGTTTAATTGTACAATTAAGTAGCTTCCACTAAACCTTCAATTGGAAGTGATTAATCTACAATGTAGTGATGATAAAAGGCAAATATCACATGAATATAATAAAACTCTATAAATACCTATCAAGCACTGAATATACTCAGTTAAAATCATATGCTTGTAGATTAATATCAGTAATTGGCAGTATTTACCGTATCTGTGTGAAAAGGGTATTTTTAAAAATGAAATACATAAAATCTTGTTAACACAGCATTAACAGATGAACATTTGTAATCAGTGTTGATGATAGGGAACACTATCTGTGGATTCCAGTTAAGTGAAATGTTATTTCCCAGGAAGAGAATTCCCATTCTTCTCAGTAGTAGGTATGTATTATAACATCATATTTATTATTATATTTTTAATTTCATCAATAAAGATTAGAGGATTTTTTTTCTGCTCAGCAGAGACTTCCCTTTTTTATTTGAATTACAGGATTTTTATTTTAAACATATGATGTGTTATGATTTGTGATTGGCTATCTCACCATATAGTAAACTTTAAAATATTGGTAGTGATCTCTAAAATAGGGCTGATTTTTACAGCAAAGTTTTGTCATTTCTACCATGAAACTATTGGCTGTAACAGCACTCTTTCTTTGTGGGTTCCCCCCAAATCCTAACAGTGTAATTGTGTCGCATTATAAAATGAGCACTAGGTGGCAGTATAATCATATTTAGATCATCAATTTGTATATAAATTTTACTTTGTATATTGTTTATATGTTGGCTTATAGTCAGCAAAGCATTAGGTTAGTAACCTGCTGCAGTAGCTCTTAAAACATGAAATTGGTTATCATGACTTTTACAATTAGAATTTCACAATGAGGTGGGTTTTTTTTTGTTTTTTTTTTTAAGATTTTATTTATTTATTTTTAGAGAGGGAATGGAGGGAGATAGAGAGAAACATCAATGTGCAGTTGCTGGGGGTCATGGCCTGCAACCCAGGCATGTACCCTGACTGGGAATCGAACCTGCGACACTTTGGTTTGCAGCCCACACTCAGTCCACTGAGCTACGCCAGCCAGGGCCTGAGGTGGTGTTTTGAATTAGTGGTATCATTTCTAGTTGAAGCCACTTTTGTGTACCACTTAAAACTGAGTTCTTTCATTGTTCTTAAGAACAATTAAGGAAAATATTAGAAAATAGCTTAGGTAGACTTGAAAGAATAAATGAGTGCATTTGACCGCTCCCTCTTAAGCTCATTCTGGGTATTGTTTATACCAGTGAGCCTGAAACATGAGTGTATGCATGTGCATTAAGAATCAGCTGTGACTAGTCATGTTAAGTTCACTGCCTGTCAGAGTGTTGTTGATATAGACCTTCTGTAAATAACTTTTTTTGAGAAGGAAATAAAATCAGCTGGAACTGAATCCTAAAAAAAAATCAACTGGGAAATATGTTTTAAAAGATTCCAGGTTTCTCTTCCAGAAATTCTAGCTCAAGTCATACATCATATTAAGAAACACAAATCTATACTCTGAACTTGACAATTTACCAGTCTTCAAGATGTTCTGTATTTTTAGATTTTTTAATATTTATTTTCACACTTTTTATGTCTGTAGACCCAGACTGCAAATTCCTGTAGAGCAGATATGTTGTGTGTATAACCAGGAGTCAGTGGCCTTTGAGTCCGGGAGTGGCTCTACTAATTAAAAGCTATGTAACTATAGTCAAGTTACATAATCTCACCAAGTTTAATTTCCTTATTTTATATAAGTGTGAAATAAGTTCCTCTCACCACCTGGGGGATAAGACAGAACAGGTACAATACATCTTATAATTGTTAGAAATTGTTAGAATCAATTGAGATATGCATAAGATATGTATAATTTTAGTATGAAATTTCAGTGATACATAATTTGGAAATACAAGTGGGCCTTTCTGTTAACTTTGTAGAAAAAGAGGGTGATTCTAAGTTTGAGGTGCCATTCTCATAGCAAGGCAATTGTGACATATGTGTGAGTGACTGCTGTGGGTCTGCCATATTTAATGCTGCAGTTGTGTCGTAGAGACTGTTGGGGTATCACCTTTACATTCGCAT